ACTTGCTCAAGGTGAAGCTGCTCAATGCCACCGCTCACAAGACCTTCCACACCCAGCTCTACACGTGCGCCGTAGAATTCGACTTCCTGCCGGTGTGCATCGTGTGGTTTTGACTGGGTCACACCACCTTCCAGGATCTAACTGCTCTTCTCTGTCTTCAGCTCTCCACGTGGGTGGAGTTGACGCGAACAGGTCTGCTACCTGGTGCTCTGGTCGCTGTCCTCGTCGCCCTATTGGAGATGCTCTGGAGACCGTCCAAGTCGTCGAAGTTCGGCGGCGGCGGTGGCGGCGCTGGCGGTGCGTCCGCTCACGGCGACGTCTGCTCCACCACCGAACAACGCGTCATCCACTCGGCCAAATCCCAATCAATCCAACATCAGATCATGCTTGCCAGAGAGACTTCCCTCCTCATCACCCATGTTGTTACCAACTTCGTCATAATCCAGGTGAGTAGCGTTAAAATTTTCGCATCTAGCCAATGTTCACGCTGACCCGGTTTCTTACACTCAACTAACTTTTTCTTACCGTGATCTGATTGGCTGTTGGTGTTTCTTGTATTCTTGTATCTTTAATGACCGTTCTCCAAACGCATATACATACTGTGTCTGTGTGTGGTTTCGTGGCCAATTCCGACTTCGTGTTTTGGTTTTGTTTTTGACAGTTATTTTCGTTCGGCGTGCTCGCCAGTTTGGTGATGCGATTGAAGCTGTTTTTCACGCCCCAACTGTGCCTAACCCTTGCCATTCTCGCCCAACCGCGTCTCTTCTTTGGCTCGCAAAAGCTCCTCCTTCTGGTGCAACGCTGGAAGACGGACAATCGCCAGCCGGTCGGTCAGAAGAGGGGCGGCGATGACGTGAGGCCGGTGCAGCACCCCGTCTCCTCGGCCGCGATTTCGTGGAAGAAGTTGCTCATTGTGCATTCGGTCTTCGTTGGCGCCATTTCTGCCTCGGCTCATCGCGGAATGCACAACTTGCTGGTTCGTCAATAACACCACTACTCATGTCTTTTAAGTAGCCGTTTCAAACTTGACTGTAGTTACGGCTGCGCCTGTTTTGAATGTAGGTAGAGTGGAGCAAACGGGGCCAGTTTTCTGACTTCACCACGGAAACCATGTTACAGTGGGCCGCGAGGCTGCCCAATCGGACTGACGGAAGGCCGTGGGTCTTCACCGGAGCCATGCCCACCATGGCGACCCTCCGACTGGGTTTGGTGGTGCCGAATGCGCCTGGCAAGTTCGCCGTAACTAATCACCCGCACTACGAGAACGCGGGGATTCGACTGCGCACTGAGTTGGCCTACGCAGTGTGCAGTAGGAAACCTGCTGAAGCCGTGTGGGCTATCTACCGACGCATACTCAAGGTAGCCGCATACTCATACGCCTGCCAATTTTTTTATTTGTGAACGCTGCTAATTGATTTCCTTGTAGGCAGATTTTGTTGTGATCGAGCGTGCCTGGTGTCTGAGTGCAGGTGCGAAGCCTGGATGTGCGTCTGTGGAGCTCTGGGATACTCTTGACCCGGGATTGGCAGATCGGGCTAGCGGACCTCTGTGTGCGGATTCGTTTGACCGAGCAGGACCCTCTAATTTGACTTTGCGCTACTTCAGGCCTGTCTTTGTCGCAACGGACCAATCTCTGGTTGTGTGGCGGGTGTCACCCTAGCGTTCTTGTTAATCGCATTTTTTCGCCTTGCATTTAATAATATTGCTACTAATTTGATTTCAGTAGCTTGTTGGCTGAACTGGCAAATTTGTGGTGGTATTGCTAAGTTTGGATCCTGCCTGTGGTAAATAACTGCAATCAGTTGTAAAACGTCTTTTTACAAAAGGACAGAACAGAGGGGCGCGAAAATTAAGTTGAAGGTAGAAAACAAAGCTATCAGGAATCACTTCCGCACTCGAGGGATGAGTCCAGCTCTCCGATTGGTAGGGTCTCGCTAACCTTGTCCACCGATTGGTCAATGCGTTTATCTGGTGTCCGGATTTCATTGGTGGTTGCCTCGAGACTTGACGTCCACCTTCGGTATTTCGCTCGTGCGTTTTGAAACCAAACCTAATTGCGGTGGTAAAAGCAGCCATTATCTGGAAGTCGTTAAGCATCATTGACCATGGAATAGTTATTAGGACAAGTGACAATTGAGCACAAGTATTTGGTTGAGGCAGTCTTTGTCAAAGTAATTCTAATTACATTTTGACCTCGGAACTGACCAATCAGGGACGGGGATTTTGTGTAAAATATGACTTCCCATATCCACAGTGCAGTTACTTCGACAAGAATGCCTAATTGATTTACCTGAAGGACGCGTTTCGATAGCTCCGTTTTGTCCGACAGTAGGCGCAGTTCCTTGGAATCCGGGTTCTGGTTGACCTTGAAGTAGGCCTTCATTAGTCGTAGTTGTTCGTGTTTGAAGGAGGTTCGAATTCGCTTCTGTGCTGTGTCCGTGATGGCCAGTCTTCGTCTCGCTTTCTCGCGATTGCCTCCCCCTCCTGACGTACAGAACCGGCAAGATAGATGGGAAAACCTTACCACTGATTTGGTAATTACTGTCTACTTATAAGATATGAGTAGAAACGTCTGTTCAGTGCTTTATTTCAAAGGCTGTCTTAATTGGAATCTTACCTTCTGTGAGATGGTCGGGACTCGGTGTGGAGACGCCGAAAAGATCCAGTCGATTTCGCAGTCCCCTGGACGCCCTCTTACTCGACTGTTGTTTTTTCGTGCTTGCATTTGGTCGGTGTAGGAGGCAGAAGACACGTCGGTTAACAGTCTCGACGTAACACTGCTCACCCAGGTGAAACTGAACTCCGCAAACTCGACAACGCAGGCAGTCGACGTGGAAGGATAGACCTCGATGAAGATGCACCACCAGGTCCACTTCAGAGAAGCGGTTTTCGCAACCGGCACATGTTGCACAGCTGTAACAGTGAGAGGAACGGGCATTAAAATCGCTCAGTGTTCTTCACCCCCTTTAGTTATCGATTTTTGGTTGTCGGAGGAATCGGATGCATTTTAATCTAATCTGCCGATCGATTAAACCCCTTGTTAACGCAAAAATGTATGATTCTCGAGTGAGAAGCTGACTGACCACATTGGTTGAAGGTGATTGGCTGCAGACAGAGACTCATTCAATTGAAAAGGGCACATAAATTAGCACAAACCTTGTGTAGTCACGCCTGCAGAGAAGCTGACCCTTGTGCTGATAACACGAGGTCTCCCATTGCAACTCACATCCACAAAGACCACAACGAAGGCATTCGGCGTGCCATGATTGGCCGTCAACCTGCAAGTACTGCCGATCCCTGATTGGTTTTGCGCAGCTCAAGCACACCCTCGCGATTGGCTGAGCTGAGCAGTCGGGGTTCTCGCACGTGGCTGGCTCCGTTTCTGGCGCCTTCAACAAATGAGAAGGTCACAGTGCCGAATTTCAAGGACATGCATTCGACCTTAGCAATTATTTTCCGCGAATTATTTATTGAGCCAGAAGAAGCTGACGCGTATAAGAATTTTGTCCTTCGCAACAGTTATTAAACATGATAATGTTAAAAGAAAATGACTTTTGTAGTAGATAAAATTATATAAATGTACAACATTGTATTGCATTATTAAATAAAATCATTAATCTTGATTTCTTTTGTTAAATTTATGCAGACGAATATTCCGTCAAATCAATAATATCAATAGAAATCGATGTATTTATTCATCACAAGGCATTTTCATTTGATATTATGGAGAGGGCTTAGGCGCAGACAATTTCATCAAGGATTTTGACTCGCGATTAATCAACCAACTGACCCCCCGGAACGGCAGGGAATGCCACCACGTGTGTTCACTGTTCCCCCCGGTGGCCGTCTGCCCAAACCCCCTGTGGAGAATTTCGCTTTTGTTGACTTAAACCCCATCAGTTTCAACGCTAACACAAATACCCATACGACAACCACACCTAACTGAAGCGTATCGATTAAAATAGTCCACAGCTCTGAGTTCAAATCAACGGATCGATAAACACTGATTGCAGCTGGTTTGAATAGCTCAAAATTTTCGAAAAACTCTTTTTTAGGCTTTATTTAAAATTGGCCAAAATGGTGCACTGGCAATCTTGGAGGCACTTGGCAAATCAGTTCGACTCAATTTGAGTGAGCGGAAACCCGTTACAGACGTCAGTCAGTCAAACACTTTCCACACTCAACTCACTTCAAGCTACAATCCTGACTGATTACACGAATTTGAAGAAATACGACTTACGTGATTTGCAGATTCCTGGAAGTAGGAGTCATCACCGCGCCCAAGGAAAATGAATTCCTCGTCCAGAGCATGCGAATACTCCATATGGCAGCACAGTGGGTGAAAATTCCCCAGTGTTGGAGCCATACTGGCGTAAAATGGCACCTCAAATGCTGCATTTGTCGGTTCACAACGCTGACACACCTGATTGGTCGGGAGCAGCCAATAAGTGAGGTGTGCGAGCAAGCTAGCAAACGCTCGTGGGTGATTGGTCAACTTGCGCCACGGTGACGGAGGTGCTTCCTTGCTGCACCGCGACGCCAAAATTAATGCATCCAAAACGCAATAACTTTTAGAAATTTTAGAACTTTTGACTGCTGAATCCTATAAACAGTTAAAAAGTCTCTTGATAATTAGATTTATCGATCGCAAGATATCTATTTAACCAGTAAATTCAATCAGCGTTCGATGTTTCACTGAAGCGATGTTGGAGATTTTTCCTAAGCAGCCTTAATCTTGAAACCAAACGGGATGTAAGTTGGGCTGGTGTGAATGCTGAAGACGGAATGCATGCTTAGACTGGTCTTATTATATGTGTTCAAATCGTCGATGCTTCGACTAAAACTTCTTTACCAATATTGATGCGATAAGAGAGTGCTTCAACGCCAAACTTGACACCCCCTGTACTACGGCGGTCCAACTCAAGATCATGCTACATTACAAATAGACCGCATACACGATTCGAGTTTGTGGAAAAATTAGTGTCGTGTGAAAATTCATCTCCACGAATTCCAGCAAGATCATTATCTCATGTAACGGTGAGCAGAAGAAGGGAATTCTACGGCGCACGTGTAGAGCTGGGTGTGGAAGGTCTTGTGAGCGGTGGCATTGAGCAGCTTCACCTTGAGCAAGTCCATGATGTGAGCTCCGTCCGAGACGTCTCCAGTGGAGGCGAGGATTCGACGCACCACGACACCCACACCCACCGCCGCAAGGAGTGTCGAACAGGTGAGGAGGAGGACGTGAGGCAGCAGACCTGCAACAGAGGAGGTGGAACATTCAAGGAAGCACAAACTAGCCATCATGGAAGACATCTTGTTCGCTGAACCCAGTCCACAGTTAAAACCGAATGATTGGCAGATTTCACGACTCCTACACAGACACAGCTGGTGTCGTGTGAGAATTCGTCACCGCCACTTCCAACACAACCAGTACTTTGGAAGACGGTGCGCTGAAGGAGGGGCAAGCATTGGTGTGGAAATCATGACCACTGAGGTGACTGCGACAACGGTAGATGTCAGATTGAGTGAGATAGGATTGAAGGTGTGTGAAAATTTGGCACTTGACGGCAGACGATGCAAGGACACACTTACCACCAAAGGTGACTCTTTCTGACGCCCACTTCTGTCGGTTGAGGAGACTGCGGTGGCAAAACAATCCTGCAAAACAACAAAACCGAATCAGGCAAAAGCACACAAACACGACGCCACAGCGGCTTCACACCCCGGTTCATTTCGCTGGCTCTACGCCAAGCAAACATGTGAAAACCGAGTTCGGATAGTCATTGAGCCATTGGGCCGCACAAAATTGCTCCAATCAGCGTGATCCACTGGGAGCAAACTCAAGGTCACCTCAAGTTCGTAGAACGATCAAATGTGTGGGCGAGACTTGCTGATCACAAGGCAAAATCTCCGCTGGCAAGAGTCGACGGTTTATTCAGGGTAATAAGAGTTGCGTCTTCCACAACTGTGGCTAGAAGAGAGGCATTCATTGTGCTTGAGTGTTCAAGGTCAGTAGGGGTGCTGATTTCCGACTTAACGTAGTGACTTTGCGTTTAAACAAGGGTGACAATTAAAAAGTGGACCATACATTTCTGCTGATTCTCTGGTTGTCTACCACTCAAACCCCCTTGGACAGAACACTGCATTTGATGCTGGAAATTTGTAGATTAGCGACGCAGTACACATGTATCTTCCTTCGTCGACCTAATAGATTAGCATGGCATGACCTTCGGGTATTTGTTTGAATGCCTTAAAACGACAAGATAAGGGCGTAAACTGACCCACAGGGCAGCCAATCAGGGGGGGGAGATAGACTGAGGCGAGGAGCAGTCGATTGCCGAGTGTTCAAGGTCAATAGGAATGTTGCGCATTTAAAATTGGCTGATTTCACAAATTCTCTACACGGAAATGCATGTCAGGGTCACGCTTGTGTGAAAAAAGAGCTTAAAGTTCAATATTGGTGATATTTTCCCCATTACTATCTACCCTTGTAGATGCATGGTAACTCATCAGAAAATGTACCTATTAAGTTGATTTAAACAGCAGCATCTAAATCGGGGATTCTCTAATTTAATGGCGCCGCGCATATTTAACCTACGCTTTGCGGTTTGACAACTCTTTGATCACTTAGTGCAGGAACGTAAGGTGTTTGCGTGATTTTTGTGCGGTTTTAAGCGTTCGATTTCCAAAATTGTGCGAATTCAGAGAAAGATATTTGATAAACATTAAACGCCTGTTAGAATTCTTTGAAAAGTTCGTGGATCATTAAAAAATAATTGTTTTCGAACGCTTTTTGCCTGCGAATGAGCGCACGCTCAAGGCCGTCTTAATCAAACCTTTAATAATGGGTCAATTAGGGGTTCACCTAAACAACGCTGAATTAATCGTTGATAATCACTTTATTACTGACTTCTGGGGTCAAATACACGCAGATTTCACCAAGTACCGCCAAAACACTGGGTCCAATCATGTACCGTCTTTTCACGCCGTTAATTCGACACATTTTGGGAAATTGGATGAAAAATAACCGAGGAAACTGGCGGCACCACCTAACTGCAAACGGAACAATGAAAAGCCTCCTCGATTTCGCTTCTTCCTTAAACAGACCAACCAAGATTATCTTCTCCTACGTGGCAGTTTGTAACATGGCATGACCTTCAGGTAGTTGTTTGAATGCTATGGAAAGGCAAGGTGAAGGGCGCAAACTGACCCACAAGACAGCCAATCAGGAGGGGAAAATAGACTGAGGCGAGGAGCAGTCGATTGCCTAACTGCAGCACCCAGGAGACGAACAGAGCGACCAGCTGACACACCACGAGGTCGGAGAGACGAGTGGCGAAGGCAGTGAAGAGGGGCGGAGTGATGGAGGCGCTCGATCCGGTGGTGAGAAGGGTGACGGCGTAGGTGGCCATCAGAGCGAAGAGTTGAGTTAGGAGGGCAAATTGGGCGAATTGCCATGGCAACTGAAAGGCTAGGAGAAGGCAGATGTAGAGGAGGCATTTCCGAAAGAAGGCGCCTCCACGCTGACGACGTCCGGGAGAGATGTCCTGGCGTAAACGAAAAAAAGCAGCAATGAGCGAAATCCAGTTAAGAAAACGGTCAATGTGAAAGACACGTGTCGATGGAGGTACCTTTAACAGCCAAATGACGACGGATTGTTGAAGGACGAAAAACGGGTAAGAGAAGGACTCTCGAAGTGGTGGAGACCACTGAACACGCGTGGCCTCACCGTGGTTAAAAAAGAATCCGACCAGTGGCAGCACAGCACCCCACACCGAGACTACACTTGTAGCCAATGAGGTGACTCCTGTACAGCAATTGGCCACTTGCCATCCTGAGAGAGCCAATCCGAAGACGGTTAAACAGGTGAGGCAGAAAACACTATTCACGTAGAATATCGGTGGTTCACGAAGGCCCTCACAGCTTAAAACGTTGTCTCTAGTAAGTGTTCCCATTGGCTCGAGAGGTGGCGGTAATGTTGAATTTTCTGAAATGTGATTGGCAGGTACGGCGACTGCGTGATCCCGTCGTACCTACATAGGAAGCAGATTCGATAGCGATACAAGTAACAATCAAAAACACACAAACCCAGAGTCTTAGACACGTGACAGTTTCGAGTACTAAAAGAGGTCCTAAGAAAGCCTTCTGATTAATCTAAATATAAACAATTTGAAAGGAAACTTGCTCCGTCTATAGTGACTTGAAAGCACTCCGAATCCAGAATATTCAGGTGAGAGAGGGTTCGATAGATCGCAGCCAGTAACACTTCAGGATAGACGTTGAACCTCTCCAGAACTCGGACACCCTGTGAAGACATTGACGGTGGAATCGCGGGCAAAAAACCCCAAGATGTGGTGTCCCAGGAGTCGACGTTTTCCAGCACGTTTGGATATTCAGTTACAGTGTCGTTGAATAGACTGTCAACTCCCTTCCAGAAGCTATCTGCGAGGATAAGCTAGAAGGAGAGGAATTCACGATAGCGGAAATTCACAAGACAGGAAAAGTTTAGTCGAATCTTCGATTTAGTTCCATTAGGGTGGCAAGTGACCAATCGCCGCATGGCTGTCACCTCATTGGTTAATAAAGCAACCTATGAGTACTCAGCAGCGGGTCACCAATAACATCGACAACCAACACAAACAATCAATATGATTAGCTTTTAAACCAGACTAACTTGCTTGAAGAAGGAGTAATAGAAGCCCATCTCACTGCGGAAGGTGAGTTCGCGCTCGGTGTTGGAGAGGTAGGCAAAGGAGAGGTGGTTCTCGTGGAGGACAGAGACGTGGCCACAGTGGAAGAGGGCACCAGTCGTGGCAATGACTACCACCAGCATTGTGATTGGCAGACGCGACTGGCGCCGCAGTCGAGGGGGTGAGCGAAGGGACCAGGCAGGCACTGCGGGACGAGTCGTCTCTTCGTCGCTTGAAGACGACGTGCACGAGAAGCGGCATTGCGAGTGATGCGTGCCTACCTGCCTCACACGTCGCCTTTGCACGGACATTGGCAAGAAGATTGACGAACCTATAATACCACTTTTTTCCCTGATTTACAAGCACCCAAGGATTCGTAAAAGTAGAGAGGAAAACTTATTGAAATTCACACGTTGATTCAGAAGTCGGGTATTTAATAAGTGCAAATTTTCAATGGGTCATTATAACGAAAAGAGTGGGGATTTACTCATGATAATCGATGTCATTATTTTGATGCTCAGTGGCTATTAAGGGCTGAGTGGTTTTTACGATTTACTCCATCATTGGTCACTCATTGAGTTATATGTTCTAGAGTCCACTTTTATTGGCCAACCGCGATTCTCCACTTTGATTGGATACCCCGGGGAGGGCGGCGTAGACGAGGCTAATTTGAGGGTTTTATTTACTGCAAACTATATCATTAACAAAGAAAATACCACCTCAAGATATTAAAAGTATAAAATATTAAAAAGGAAATGTTTTGAGATGCAAAATAGCTACAGATGAGATCCAACCAATTGTCAAACACAAGCCTAATTAAGCCTTCTTCGTGTGCATTAAAAAGTTGACGCTGAGAAAGAAGACACTTACCAAGGAGCGTCATTTGACGCCTACAACTACCACAAAATGATAGAAAAAATTAGAAGCACACACTTGCTATTTCATATCCACCTACGAAGAGTCAAGTGCCTCTTGAGAATTTACAAATCTTCACATACTTTTTGACACAAGTAGAGGAGAAGGTACGTCAGTGAATGCACTACTGTGAGCGCGTCTACTTAGCATATTGGCACACAAGACGTGCGTTGACAATCCATGACGTTAGCTGCACTCATAGCATCATTTTCGAAAAACGATCACCAACATTTTAGAAATGTACATGAGTGTCTGCTTCCAACATCAAAAAATGCTAAAATCACCTGTCCCACAAGAACATTTGCAAGTTATGCAGGAGATATTTTGGAGAGCATGGCTGCTAGAGGGCATTTTTCGGCGAAAACTAGCTATTACGTGACCGTATATATACTGGTTTCATCAAACCAAAACATCCATTTCGGCCCGAGAAATGGCACATGAGAATGCCTAGAATTTATCGATACTACCAAAAACATAAAAAGCAATACAAGCAATAAGTGAAATAACGACAGTAAGCAAACAAAACAAAAACCAACAATTTCCAAGGAGCCAGGCAAAGACAAATTAAACCCACTGTCACAAGTTTTTTTTTAGAAAAACCAATGAATAATACAAGGAGATCAAAGCAGCGGGCAAATCAGATAAACGCACAAACTAAAAGTATCCTAAAAAAGCACAAAATTTCTAATTAATCAGTTATTACTTCTGTTTTTATAAATAAACTAAGTCCCGTACGGCCACCTTAATATGCAACCAATTTTACCTGCAAAGCAAAATCCAGGCAAAATCGGAAAAACAAAGTAGTTGACCTTGAAAATGTTCAAGTGGTCAAAACCAGTAAAATGCAGGAAATCCAGGCAATTTTTTAAAGGATATCAGCTTAAATAGGAATAAAACTGATACAGAAATTAAAGTATGGTCTGCAGAATAAACAATCAAGTAGACCCCAAGACATCAAAAACTGCAAATCTAAGTGAAATGTTATTTTGTCTATAAAAAAACACTCGCAGTCGTAAATTATGGAAAGTCTTTATAAAGAAAAAACTCTAAAATATTTTTGTTTTGCAAAGTCATGTATTTGACAAGTTTCATGTCGTCATTTATTTGCAATGTGAGCGAATCGTTATTCTTTATGCCTTAACTTTACTAACTTGTCGTAAATATTTTATAATTAAAGAACACTTGTCACACTGCTTCTCCTAATAGGTAGAATTTCGTTGATATGGAAGGACTTAATTAGCGTTATCAATAATCATTGCACTTTAGACAGCTTGACTCGTTAAAAACTTAGTTACCGAGTAAAGACTATTGTGTCATCTTTCTTTAAATATGAATAACGTTTATATTTACGGTAAGAACTTTGTTGCTCAGGTTTAAACTTTTAACAATAGCGTGTTTTTATAATGTGTTCCCCTTCGCATGAGCGGGTTTAAAACTGCTCAATTTTTTTTCTTTTAATAAATTTTTAACTTTCACTACCATCCTAGGTTTTCCTAGCTAAACAGAAATTTGGCCTGCATTATCAAAATATTTCATTTTTCTCACGTACATAGTCACAATGATTGTTGTTTGCTTTTAAACATTCAGCGTGCATATGATTCTAAATTATTTGCTAAAAGTACGTTTTAACAAATCTTCAAACGCTCATGTGTGCTTACTTTTTCTTGGCTTTTTAAACGAAATGGCCAAGTAAAAAAAGATTAACATTCATGTTTATCTAGCGTTTGTTCTGGCAAATGCCTTATTAATAATATTGAATTATGATTCAATGCAGCAAAACAATCTCTGTGCACGTAATCATCTGTGCGCTGGTTAATTTAAAATACAAATATCAACAATTGCCATAATTATTGCAGTCCAAATTAATGAGAGATGGTTTAAAGTGGCATGCTAATTTACTTTTATGTTTCGCAATAGATTTGATACCAAAAATGTGTAAAAATTATAGCAGCTTAACTATTAATGACAGATTTTTGTTTCTTTTGTGACAAGTGAAAACTTTTGATTAATATTCCCTGAGAAACCTTAATTTCTCTGAAATAAATATCACAAAATATAGAAGTTAATATGTGCAGAAAATCAAAATGAGAGCTCAAACGAGATTAGACTTTTTATGCAAATTAATTTCACTCTGCGCTTATGGCAGAACTTTGACATCAACTGTCTTAGGTTTAAAATTAGACTGCTTTCACTGCAAAAAATAAAGTTCTTAAAAAAATTTGTCAGACATTTTCCCTCTGTCTTAAAAATTTGAACGAAGTTTAATGCAGAAACCAGTATTTTTTAACCTGAAAAAAAGACAATTTTTCAAGGCAATGTTTACTTTCGATTAATATTTAATTAACCGCGTATTTTAATCCCCGCAAATTCTTACAAGCAACGCAGCCTTAGCCAAGTAGAATCAAACCATTTGTTATCTCGTCTAAAAATTATGGCATTAGAACAATAAATGAAGCCATAAATGGTAATGAAATATCGGATGAATATACCATTACCGGCATGATCCAACAAATTCACGTGAAATGTTACGATGAAAGAACTAAGATTAACCGATAGCTGCAAGTACAAAGGATATTGTAATTAGCAAAATTTGCACAAAATGATGTAGTGTAGAATGCTCAACATTTAAGATATAAGATTAGCATGAAAATTTAAGATTAGCATTACCTAACCAAATTTTAAGCCGAATTTTTATCTGATCAGAAATCGCAATTAAACATGTCTTTAAAAATACAAAGCATGTCTCATTAACTTTTTTGATGCGCTCATAAAAATGCTGATTCATAAAAAGAGCTTGTATCTATCCAAAAATTTGCATAACTTCGATATTTGCTTTTATCTTTGGAATATTTTTGGACTAAATTTAATTTAATGTACTGTACAAAATCACGCGCAAACAAATTAGTTTCTGAAAAAAAATGAAATTTTATTGCAAATATATGTGTGTCACTTAAGGTTGTAACTGGAACAGATTAAAATTTGTTTATTTAAGGGCTACCCCCAATTAATGATATAAAAGGGTTCTGAGCACAGTTGCATTTTCTAATACCTGTATTATTATCGTGAGTGTTTTTTTGTTGATGTTAGATATATGCATGAAATGCGCAAACTTTTCAGTGATCAAGTGAAGATCTCAGTTGTAACTTTTGTTTAATCATGCAACAACCTGACTGAAGTGGCGCGTTCTGGCTTTTGCACGTGGTTTCCTCTATTAGCCGGTTAGTGCAGTTGGTCTACTATTTAGCCTGAGTAGCCAGGCAGAGTATAACGTACCTAATCTCCTAGGCATGTTTTTGTGCATGTCTGTCGCCTCTATCGTATCTTAATTAACTCTAGCCCCCGTAGGCTAACCCTGTCGTTGAATGGCTACGTGTTTTTTCCACTTGTAGCGATCTGTTGGTGATTAAATCCACAGTTAACATTGTAACGTGGTGGTATTTCAATTGAAATTACTTAGATTTTGTGCATCTGCAAATGGTCAAGTGTTTCTTTATCCCCTTCGTTGTGATTTTGTATGATCTTGACCTCACTGTAATCCCATGTATTTTGGATGTTACAGATGTCCGATTATAGTCGCCGTATGGCTTCCAGGAATCGCAAACAGCGATTTCCTCATCCAGATCGTCGGCGGTCGTCAAGTTTTCTTCCTTCAAGTCCATTCTCGGAAAATGGCTACGACTCAGATGAAAATGTGTATCCACCTTCCAAGAGAATGCGGTCATCGGTTGGATATGTTTCTCGTGGCCCGGTAGCCACTAAAGGCCACCCATCGGACGTGATAAAATCGGAGAACAAGGAGCTTAATTCGTCTTCTGGACCACCTTCTCGCATAGACAAGCGTGCTCGCGACGAACACAACGAGCAGGAGCGCAGCCGTCGTCGAGAGCTGGCTGTCATTTACGAACTCATTCGTTGTTCGTTCTCGCAGGACGACCTTCGTCATCTGGGCCCTGGCAATGCACCCAAGTCGATAGACAAGTTGTCCTATCCGCAGGTTCTCCACATTGCCTACCACGTGATCAAGGAAGAAAACCACAACCTTCAGCTATTTGAGCGCACTCTTGCGGATATTAAGCGCATTGAAAAGGAGTTCTTGCGTCTGGGGTTGCCGGTTCCATGTCGGCCTACGTGCCCCTCTGTCACAGACACGTACAAAAAGGTGGTCGGTGTCGTCGACGCACTCTTAAAGATTGACAAACAGTAAGTCTCTGCTTATCTTTTATCTGTCTTGTTTGCCTAGCGTGGTTGGATGCGTCATTGCCAGAAATCAGCGTGTTGCTTAGACCTCAGCGCCAGCATTGTGCTCTAAGGCTATATATGTGTGCCTGTACCCCGAAAATGTATCTGAAGTATTTGATTTTGGCACCTCAAACTTGTGTAAATCTGCACATTTTACTTTCAACGCTTATTTAGAGCTCGTGCATTGGATGGCAGTTACGAAATCACGCCTGCCCAACGTGCAGCCTACGGTGACCATCAGTTAGCTTTTTTGCGGCCCAAGACCCTCCACGGACACCTCTCGTCGCCCGACTCTGTCAGCCCCCCGCCGCCGTTTTATTCGCACTCGGATTCTCATTCAGTTGCGAGTTCCAATTCTTCGAGTTATAACCACGATCGCCGCACCATCAGCCAGCACACAAATGGGTTCCATCGGCCGACTCCCCGCACACCCGGCTACTCCGCCGTCTCATCCCACCGCGTCCATCCACCGCTGGCTACTACTGCTCGTCAGCCAACCTCCGATCCCTTTGTTCAACAGATGCCCACCCCATCGTCTTCTTCCTCCTCGCTTCCCCAGATCTGTACCGTTTTCAAGTCATCTCCGTCCCTTCCAACGGCAGATCACGACGAAGTGATTTCCACTCGCAATTCCGGTGGAATGGAGTACATTGATGAGGTCGATTTGCCACCAATTGCTGACTCGCTCTCCGTTGCTAATGGCGAGATGGGAACTACTGGTGTTTGCGATGATTTGTACTTTTTTGGCGGTGACATGGGTGTCACCGGCGGTGATAGGGATGACCTGTTGCCAGATGCCGACATCCCACCCTCCATTTTTTCTGGCATACCCCTGTAGCTATTGCTTTTAAGTAAATTTACTGCCTTACTATGTACATAGAACGTGCACCGTTCTTTCCACTGTGTATCAATCTTTTTAAATCCAATCTTTACTCCTTGCCTGATCTCATATCAATTAATGTGACACTGTTGGGATTTGCTTTTGCTTATCAATACCCAACTAAGCTATATGGACGTAATGAGGTGTCGGGGTTCACTGAGAAATCAACCACAGAATGCCATCGAGTGGCCGGTATATACCGTCACAGCCGGGTATCTGCGAGGCGACGGCGTGTGCTCTGACGCAGCACAAGTGGATGGGATCTGCAGTGTGTCAGGACTTTGCCATACAGAAAGTGAGGCGAGGAAGCGATTCGACAATAATAGTTTATAACACCAATACCAACAGAACAGAGGTCCATGCCAGTTGATGATTGAGATATTCGAATTTTGGAAAAGTTCGTTCTTGGTAAAGCCTAATAGGTCTTAAGTTAAACTTACACGTGGCAACCACTAAGGAGTGGAGTCGTTCTTCGCAAGTGTGACCTAGTCGTGCTTTCCTGACCGTAGCGCTTCTAATCGCTATTTTGATTGCCGAGGCATTCAGTTTGTGAAACTAAATGGCATATATGGGAAAAATCAATAATTTTCTTTTACTGGTGTGAGCGAAACGCTAGATGATAAGCTGCACACAAACCTGGCTTAATTATAAACCTAAAATTGTAGTGAACTCATGTTTACAGTTTTTCGAAAATTATGCCTATGGTCACCCACGAAATTGCATTATCTCTATTGCATTCTGCAAATTCACGTCGACTACCTCCCACACCGCACGTGCAGACATCGTGACGGTTCCCCCTCCTCCCCCCGGGAATAATTCCTTCCTTTATCCGCGTTCCTATTGGTTGGGCGGGCACGACTGTACGTGCCCCCCGTGCACGTCCACACAACGTATACGCAAACGCGAACGCAGACATGCAAGCACACCTGAGTTGAGCCGCCGGCGTCATTAGCATCGCCTACACAGCAGCTGATGGCATTGAACCCACCTCAAAAATCAACCCTTCACATGGCTAACGATCTAAATTTCACCGCACTTCAAAATTACGCCCCGGTCCAGAAATGACACCAGTTGATAGCCACCAATTTAGTTCTGCCAATGTCATTTCCGCTGATCAGCAGTTGTCTCCTAATTGGATTAACGTGCTGTAAATTTCCTTGACAGAATTGGAAAACATGCATTTACCCTTCTGAGCAGCAAGTACCGATTCCTTAGGAGTTGTCTAAACATGATCTTTAGGGGATTTCAGAGTGTTCACGTATTTTCGCCTTTCAGATATGCGTTTTAGGCTGCAGGCACAGTCATTTAGACACAAAATCGATATTTATTGATTTCCATCTACCTGGTTCACTTAATGGCACGTGCTTCACGTTTACGCAAATTTAAAATATGGGTTGAATTTTTAAGGCGAAAATTTGTGGAAATTGTTGTCGAAACTACGAAAGCAAATCGGAAATTATCTCCACGACTACAAATAGGATGAATGCACTCAAGATCAGCGAGTGAGTCGTTGTTGCGGTCACTATCGTGGACTTCCAAAATGCATGATGTAGTATGTTCGGGAACATATTGCGCCTTGATGCACGTAGTTCGACGCGATCATCAGTAAAAAGTTAAGTCAAAATGCAAATAGAACTGGGATTTGGCTAAAACGGGTTGTAAATTATCGACTTGAGTCGAAATCCACGAAAACTTTTCACAAATAAGTGTAGTTTTGTGTATAAGACGGACAATAAAGCATCACTCCACCACGGATAACATCTTCGAGTCTCCAGTTTGGACAGAATAATTACTCATTTTGTTACAAGTTTTAAGAAAAAACGTACGTAACAGCAGTTGAAACAACCTTTTTTGCATGTTTGTATTGTCAATCGACTTCTAAAATTGAATCTTCAAGGCCAAATGCTAGTAGCGATGAGTAATGCTCAATCATTCAATCACACACACGGTCGTGCCTGCGTGTAAATAAAACGCTTGTACCAGCTTATTCCTGACTTTTGTCTTTCTCGGGTACTGTAGATTCTTAACTAACGGATTTGTAAGGTAAGTCAAGTCGATCTTCGGTGTAGGGTTCTCACAAATCCCTCTTATTAGCGTTAATTAACCATGAGGGTAAGTAATCTTGTTTGGGAAAGGACACTTCATTATCGCTATCACGCGAACAACTTGAAAAATCCCTTTTCTGGAAAGGTGTGTCGGCATTCACGGCAAGAATTAAGTATATAAATTGCTAGAAAGAACGGAATTCACTGAATGCACTATTGGACTCATCATCTTTATAGGTAGATGCATGATTATGCAACGAACCGTAAATTTGGGCACTCGATCTGGTCACCCATTTTACGTCTAGTCTAACTTAGCAGTTTTAAATTTTCGATCGATATCGGTGCCGAGGATGGTGCTTGCCCCCCCCCCCCTCCCCCAAGGATCGGACAAATGACACCACAAGATCTTTGGTCTACACCTTCTAACACAAGTAGTTGACGTCGGCCAATCTGCTTGGGGAATTCCTGCTTCAATAAGTTCTGTGGAACTCAGTTTGGAATTGCCCGATCCTACCAACTGTGAAGAGCTCTTGAACGAGTTCCCAAAAATTTCGTGGTGACCCAGTGAATCCAGTCACTAGTTCTTTGCTTTAAATCGTCACGAAAGTTTCACGGACAATTACCAAAGCGGAGTTTAAGCATTTGAGCCATCTTTGCATAAACCGCTCTCTCAACAGCCCTAAGGGGCCCCTCAACACACGGTAACTAGTGAATCCGGAGACTGCGCCAATTACAGACTCCTATATAATGTCGCAATTCCAAACCTTTAACCCAATTCCTCATATCCACGATTTTTTCCTTGGGTTTAAACTGTCCAGAAGTCTTTTTAAGCCTTGACCATGTTCAGGACAATGCCCCTGATAACAACCTCAAAACTGGCGCAATTATTTAATTCGGTCTATTTGAGTTCCTACGACTGCTTTTTTGGTTTGTGTAATGCGGCACAGATTCATGGTCCAAGTTCTGTGTGGTCTTTGTCTTCATTAATAGACAACGACGCATGTTTACTGCACCTACGGTTAGTTTTCATCCGTCTTATGGCCTTCGACATTACAGAGCACCCCCCAAAATGTGTTTGAAGCGGAAATCTTAGACTTATCTTGTTGTGACACAAATCTGTCAAACATTGAAAGGATATGAGTTTTACAATTTTGTTTGACCATACATCGTTCTAGCACCGTCTAGCCAATATTCCCCACGGTAATCCATGTACCCCATATTTTGAAATTCGACACCCGTATCTGTCAGGTTAGTTGGGCTGCAGACTTAAGCCTACTCGCTGATTGTCAGTTACCAACACCGTTAACTACGGTGTATGCAAATGACGCGGATTCGAGACAAATCAGTCAAAATTCCATCCCAAGTCTGAAGGAGCTGCCGTTCCCCACTGTTACACAAGCAATTTGTCCAACATATCAGCTAAAAAAACCGAACCCTTTGTGATAGTAGTGGGTGGCTTACAAATTTTCAAGCTGAGTTAATTGTGCTTCCCATTAGCCCTCTGTAACTTGACGTTTCCCGTAGCTTTCGTCTCCAACACACAGGAAAGGGAATAGTTTATTGACTCTTTATCGTGGTAAATCCAAATACGTCTTTTCGTATTATCGATCCATTGGCAGACTTGAAAATCCCAAACCAACTGCTCGCATCGGTGAGCGATGTGTAGGTGTTCTCGTATTGATTTTTTTACACTGGATCAGACATGCAGCGGTTTTAATGCTTCCTCTACGTGTTACTTGTGTTCGTGTGTGAATTAAACGTCACAATCGGATTTTTTTACCTTCTCTTCGTTGATTTTTGTTGCAACGGATGTCGGCTAGACAGGCTTTAAGGTAGATTCAAACACTACAAGTTTTACATCCGGTAACTGATTTACATTGTGGGCATACATTGAATAAGCTGAGATTCTTGGTTTTATTTTTTACAATTTTTCATAGAAAGTGAAAAATTTTTGTCTGCGCACGGCACCGAAGGCTACTGGGAGACCGTGAAGATTGCTTAATCACGTTTACTAGGTTGATTTTATGCCAGAATGATTTGGATTTCTAATTTATAACGCACTTAGTTTGGCTATGGATGTGGCTTTGGCCTTTTAGTCGACCATTATTGATTAATTTGGGAACAAAACTTGGTCCTAATCGGCAGACCCAGGTCCCAGACTTTTACATTTCAGACAGGAAATTTGGATTTTTCAAAATTTCGTGGACACTGTCAGCAGGATAATATTTGGAACAGTGTACTTGCCATAGAAACACATGAACACCTAGTGCAAATTATGCGTCGTGGAATGCTTCGCATTCTTTTGGCCGCTCAAACATCGAAGACACCAGACACTGAATACACTGCCTGTTTCTTGTGTACTAATTTTAAAATGTCGCCAAATGTTGCACATGCAATCAAGTGCATTCCATTGAAAAAATGCGCGTTTTCAGACGGTGTACGAAAGCAATTACGACGTCCCATCGCCTTCCTTGGACTATGACTAGACACCTGGCGAACTCCGTTCTCGCCGCCTGTGCAACTGGAGGCCTTCCAGAAGCTTCTTTTCCAAGTCGACCAGCTTCCCGTTTGAACCACCTCTTTCCTTGCACATGCTTGTTAAATCATATTTTTGATTCAAATTTGACCATTTCAACACATAAAACACATATTTTATGTTTCAGTAAATGGTACTAAGTATTTGGGAGTCTAGTTCTGCCAAATTCTATTTAATATCCCTGTCCTAATTTTACCTGAAGACGTTTCTGGGATCGCGGACAGACAAATCGGGGAAGTGGCCAATGAAGCCATATTTGGAGCAATCAATATCCATGTTGTCGACGCAGTTAATCGAGAGGAGTATCATATTGATACGGACCGATATTCAACTTGCAAGTCTCAAAAGCTTCGAATACGACTCACAATTAACAGATA